TTCTTTCTCCCCAGCCCCGTTGTGACCCTGCCGCCGGCCCCCCCAAAGAGTCCCAGCTCCTTAGAGAGATCCCCAGTGCCCCTCGCTCCCGGCCCGCAGCCCCCTGTGATGACGTGACAAGTCCCCCAGGTCCCAGCCTGGGGTCTCGGATGCTGTTTCCGGAGTGGTGGGATGGTGGGGGGAGCAGGGTTGAGAGCTGATTGGTCAGTGCCCACCCCCCACTTTGGCTCTCAGGAAGGAAGTTGGCTGCTGTTTAAATACCTCACTGTAGCTCCCCCAGTCCCCGTGGCAAGCTTGGTGTGGGGTCGCACAGGCTCTGCCCTGTCCCCACCCTGATCTGGCCTGGCAGGGGTTGCGGGTCAGGAGTGAGGGGCACTGGCAGGGCTGTGGCCTGCCCCACTCATCCCACCCCAGGTGCCTGCAGGCAGGGCCTGGCGCAGAGCTGGCTGGGCCTGTCTCTCCAGCTCCCAGCTGCCCGGGGGGCAAAGGGCAGGCGGCTGCTCCCTCCCTGTGGGCTGGGCTAGGGCAGCTGCTTCCCACCTTGCCCCCCCTCCCCCCATCCCTGCCAGTGCTCCTCTCACCCATCTTGCCCCCCCTGCCCTACCGGTGCTTCTCACTCCCAACCCACAGCATCCCCCCCTGGGGCTACTTCAGGCTGGTTCAGAAATACCCCCTGGTCCCAGGGCTCGCCCCCCCACTCCACTGTTACATCATCACTTGCCTCCTGTTGCCTCTTCTTGCATCATTGGAAAGGGCCTGGGATCTCGGGGGTTAAGGGGGGAGGGGGCCTGGACACCTGGGTTCTCCAGCTCAGGGAAGGGTTTGGGTGGGGGTGGAAGCTGAGTGGGTAGCTCTGAAGGTCCCTTGTGTCGCACGAGGGGGCTCTTTGTGAGCTCACACTGGGCCTTTGTGCCCGGTGCTGGGGGCTGTGGCTGTGGCTGGCTCAGTCCTGGGGGCGCCTGGGGTCGCAAGAGCCTGGAGGGGGATGGGGAGGGGACGCCACAGGGGTGCTGGGAATCCTTGTGTGAGGGGATGTGGGTCTGGAGGGAGGGGCACCGGGCCTGTGCTGTGAGCATGAATCCTCGTGGTAGCATTGTGGGCATGGGTCTTGCTCACAGGCTAGCGGAGTTCGGGTGGTGATCCTTGCAGCTGATCATAGTTGCCAGTCATGCAAATCCTCTTGCATGGGACAAGTGGATCCTCGTGCAAGGGCATGGAGCACCAGGCTCCCCTGGGCCTGCACGTGTGACTCCTCGGGGAGCGCGGGGTTTTCCAGGACTCATGAGTGTGAATCCTCGTGTAAGGGCCAGGCGCATGAGGTTTTCCAGGGCCTGCAAGTGGTGAATCCTCGTGTGAGGCAGGCAGCTGCCTCTGCTGAAGCGGTGAGGGTCTACAAGCTATTGTATGAGTGCTCAGGGCACGGTTTCCCAGCTGGAGACTGAGGCTAAGACCATGGTGACAGGTGACATGCAAATTGCATCCTGGTGCACGTAATCCTCATGCAAGGGTCCCAGGACCTGCGCTGCCAGTGACCTGCACTCCTTGTTGGGGTGGAGAGCATGAGCTCCCGTGCAATAGCTGATCCTTGGGTATGAACACAGGGACGTCGCAATGGGGCTCGCAGCGAGATTCATAGTGCCAAGAGTTTCTCACTGGGGCTGTGAGTGTGAGCTCCAGTGTGAGGAGCCCAGGGCACGGATCTGGTTGAGTGTGAATCTTCATGCAAGTGACCCCAGGGGTGCGGAGCTTGGTAGAAGCCACGAGTGAATTCTTGTGTGAGTGACCGTGGGGGATGGATCTCATGAGTGCAGTGAATGTAAACCCTTGTACAAGTGACCCCAGGGGCACGGTTTTCACTAGTGCTGTGAGTGAAGCCCTGGTGCAAGTGACCCCAGGGATATGCATCTTACTAGTGCTGCAACAATGAAACTTTGTGCAAGTGACCCCAGGGGCATGGATCTCACAAGGGGTCACACTCATGGCACTAGTGAGATCTGTGCCCCTGGGGTCACTGGCACTAGTGCTGTGACAATGAACCCTTGTACAAGTGACCCTGACAGATCTCACCAGTGCCACAAGTATGAATCCTTGTGCAAGTGACCTCAGGGGCATAAATCTCACTAGTGCTGTGAGTGTGACCTCTCTCGTGCTAGGGACCCAGGCACACGCCCTGTAGCCGTCCGCCCTGCCTGCCCCATGCCATCTGGCTGCCCCGATAGGGCACGGGCAGCCCAGATAAGCTGGAGTTGACTGACGCAGCCCCCAGAAGCGGCGGACCCGGGGGCTGGGAGTGCAGGGCACCGTCGGGAGTGAAGGGCACTGTCAGGGCTGGGGGGGCAGGGGGTGGGAGTCGGGGGAGGGGTTAATCCTGCCCCTCCCCTCTTTGCTGCCTGCCTCAGGTCGGCCGGAGTTCACCTGCGGTCCAAAGTCCTAAGGTGCCATCTGCTGTTGGGCTGAGGGGGAGATGTGGCTGGCTCTGGGGGGGGGGGGCGGGGGCTGGGCGGAAGGTGTGGGGTGGGGTGCGGGGGGCTGGGCGTAAGGGGGACTGGAGTTGTGGCTGCCTCTGGGGTGGGTGTAATGGGGACCCGTCACCTGGAGCTGAGATGCGGCTGGCTCTGAGGTGGGGCTGGGTGTAACAGGGACCTGAGATGCAGCTGGCTCTGGGGTGGGGTATCAGGGCTGGGTATAATGAGAACCTGAGATGTGGCTGGCTCTGGGGTATGGTGTAATGGGGACCTGAGATGCAGCCATCTCTGGGGTGGGGACCAGTCCTGGACTCTGGGGTCCCACAGGGCAGGCTGGAGGCACGCAACACCCATGCCGGGGCCCCACTAATGGCCCTCGCTGTGTCTCCCGCAGGATTGCCTGCCTGCCCGCCCGCCATGGCCGGCGCGTAGCCCGTGGCTGCAGCCGTGGTCAGAGCCCCAGCTGCATGTGCCCGGGGGGGCCCCGCCGAGGAGAGAGAGAGGAGCCAGGGAGTCTGCCGCCATCGGGGTGAGTGTGCAGGGCTGCGAACCCAGGCATCCAGGTTGCTGTCCCCTCCCCCTGCTTTACTTCCTGTCCCAAGCGCCTTCACTTCCTGTCCCAAGCGCCTTCACTTCCTGTCCCAAAGGGCCTGTTTCCTGTTGCCCAACCCCTTTCTGAACTGGGGGAGAGGGAGGGTCTGGGCTACCCCTTACAACGTGCCCTACTCATGAACTCAGGAGTGCCTGGCCCCACCCCTCGTGCCCAGGCAGGGTGTGTGCACACTTGCTTTGCACAAGCACCCTTGTGCAAGGCCCCCCCATTTGCTGAGGTGGGGATGGTTAACCCCTGGTGCACCAGGAGGGGGCACAGTGCGGTTGGGCAATGGGCCCTGCGGGAGCAGTGGCGGTGTCCCCAGGTAGTCACAGGCGGGTGCCCAGGCTGCCACGGTGCCCCTGTTTGCCCCGTAAGGCATGTGCCAGGGTAGTTGTCTCCTCTGCCCCTGTGAACGGTGTATGGGGTCATGTATCGGCACTGAGTGTGTGTGTGTGTGTGTGTGTGTGTCCTTCTCCAGGGTAAGATGTTGAGGGAGGGGTGTCTGGTGGTTGTGTTTTCCTAATCGTTGTATAGTGCAGGATGCTTTGGGTGTGTGGGAGACTGTAGTGAGCGCCTGGTGTGTGTGTGTGTGTGTGTTGGGGGGGTTGTCTCTCCAGCACAGGATCACTTGTGTGCATGTGTGGTTGTGAGCATGAGACAGGTGGCTGTGTGTGGCTGTGTTTAGCAAGCTTGTGGCTGTAATTTGGACTGTCTGCCTTGTATGTTTGTGTGATTGTTTGGGGAAGGGGGGGGTGTGCACACGCACGCACACATTTAAAGAGAGAGCAGCAGTATCTTCTTTGTGCATCTGTAGAAGTTGTAGTCTCGGCTGTGGTTCCTCCGTGCCGTTGTGGTTCTTGTGTGTGTCTACTTTGTATGGTATTGTGGTTGTGGTCCTGGCGATGTGTGCGTTCCGTACAGTTGCATGGTGCTGGGCTTCTGCTGTGCATGCTTGTGTCTACTCTGTGTGTTGTTTTGGTTGTAGGCCTGGCTGCATCCCATATCTCTGTATGGTGTTGTGGTTCTTCTGTGTGTGTGTGTGTGTGTGTGTGTGTGCGCGTGTGCACAGGCATGTGTGTCTTTAGCCTGATCTGTGTTTGGCGTGTTGCAGTTCTCCTCTCTGTGTGTTTAATGTGTGTGCGCACCTTCTACCTGCCATGTGCATGCGTGCCTGTAGGCCCAGCTGGGGAGCTGTGTGGTTGTGTTTAGCAAGCTTGTGGTTGTAATTCAGATGGTGTGTTCTGTATGTTTGTGTGATTGTATTGGTTTGTGTGTGTGTTTGAGGGAGAGAGTGCCAGTATCTTCTTTGTATGGATGGGTGTAGTCTTGTGTTTCGTGTGTGTGTGCGTATGTGTGTCTATTCCATGCATTATTGTGGTTGTAGTCCTGACTGTATGACTTGCATAGCTGCATGGCGTTGGCATTCTTGTGTGCGTGTGTGTGTGTCTTAAGTGTTGTTGTGGTTGTAGGCTTGGCTGCATCCCATATATCTGCATAGTGTTGTGGTTCTAGTGTTTGTGTCTCTGTGTGGTGGGGATGCGGGGGAGCAGCAGTACCTGTAGGGACGGTTTTAGTCTTGACTGTGTTTCCTCTGTGCTGTTGTGTGTTTGTGTGTGTTTGTACACACGCATCTATTCTGTGTGTTGTTGTAGTTGTAGTCCTGGCTGCGTGTCTTATATAGCTGCATGGGCTTCGGGTTCTCGTGTGCGTGCGTGCGCGTGTATTGTGTGTGTTGCTGTGGCTGTAGTCTTGATTTGTATGTTTTGTATAGCCGTGTGGTGTTAAGCTTCTCGTGTGCATGTGTCTGTTTTGTTTGTTGTTATAGGCCTGGCTGTGTCCCATACATTTTTATGGTGTTATGGTTCTGGTGTGTGTGCGTTTGTTTGTTTGTGTGTGTGCGTGTGTGTGTGTGTGTGTGTGTGTGTGTATAGCCTTATCTGGCTTTAGTGTGTTGTTGTGGTTCACTTCTCTGTGTGTTTATTGTTTGTGTGCTTGTAGGCCCAGCTGGGGAGCTGTATGTGGTTGTGTCTAGCAAATCTGTGGCTGTAATTTGGGTAGTCTGTCCTATGTGATTGTGTTGGTTTGTGTGTGTGACAGTATCTTCTTTGTATGGATGATTGCACCCTTGACTGTTTCCTCTGTGCTGTTGTGGTTCGTGCATGTGTGTGCGTGTGCACTGTTGTGGTTGTAGGCCTGCCTGTCTCATATATCTGCATGGTGTTGTGGTTCTTGTGTGTGTGTGTGCGCACGCGCGTATAGCCTCATCTGCATTTTTGGTGTGTTGTTGCCATTCTCCTGTCTGTGTTGATTGTACATGCGCACCTTCCGCCTGCCACGTGTTTGTGTGTTTGCACGCATGTGTGCATCCTTATAGTCTTAGCTGGGTTGTGAGGTTGTGTTGTTCTGCCAGGGGTGGCTGGCTGCGTCTGGGTGGGTTGTACACCCTGCTCACTGCCTGCAGTTGTGGTGCCGTGTGTCACTGTGCGCTGTTGTGGCCCCTGAGTGTGACAACGGTCCCATCATTCTGGGTGCGGTTGTGCAGCTGCCTCAGGGGCAAGTGCAGTTCTCATCCCCCTCCTGCGTACCAGTCCCTTGTAGCCTTGGGTGGTTGTGCAGTTGTGGTACCCAGTGCATTGTGCTCCCCCAGTCTGTGTCCAGGGGTTGAGTTTGGGGTGGTTGTTCCCTATGCACCTGGGGAAGTTGTGTTTCCCCCCAGCTGCCCGGGGGTCATGTGTCACCATCATTGCAACTAGTTGTGTGTCCCCAACTGCCTGGGGTTGTGTGTCACTGTTGTTGTAACCAGTTGTGTGTCCCAGCTGCCTGGAGGTCATGTGTTGCTGCTGTTGTGACCAGTCGTGTGTCCCCCAGCTGCCCAGGGGGGGGGGGGGGGATTGTGTGTCTGTCGTGTGTCCCCCAGCTGCCCAGGGGGGGGGGTGGGGATTGTGTGTCACCATTGTTGCAACCAGTTGTGTGTCCTCCAAGTGCCCAGGAGTCATGTTTTACTGTTGTGTCCGGTTGTGTCCCCCCCCCAGGTGTCTGGGGGTTGTGCATCACTGTTGTTGTGTGCCCCCCAAGTGCCTGGGGATTATGCACAACTGTCATTGAGTCTGGCTGTGTGTCACCATCATTGTGTCCAGTTGTTTGTCCCCCAGCTGCCTGGGGGTCATGTGCTGCTGTTGTTGTGTCCAGTTGTTTGTCCCCCAGCTGCCCTGGAGGGTTGTGTCCAGCTGTACAGTGCTGCGTCAGGCTGTTGCACCCTCAGGGGTTGTGTTGCTGTCTGTCATGGTGTACAGCAGTGGCTGTTCTCCCTTTGCGCATGCGCGTGTGTGTGCGCGCGCGCGTGCATGCGTGTGTGTGTGTGTGCGCGCCAACGGAAGGAGGAGGGGGACCCGGGTTTCCCGGGGGCGGAGCTAGTGGTGACGTCAGGCTCCTTTTAAACTGGTTCCCACGCGGACGGTGAGTCACGGCAGACCCCCGCCCCGCTCCCCCCTTTACACACCCGCACACACACACACACCCCACAGAGCTGGGCTGGGACAACACTGTATATTGCTGTCGGTGCCCAAGGGGCCACCCCCCCCCCACACACGCACAACAGCTGGACACACCGGATCCATTGGGACCCGACCCCTTCTTCCCCTCCACAAGGTGAGAGGGTATTGCTTTGTGTGTGTGTGCGCGATTGTGTGACCCCATATGAGATCCTTCTTGTGCGACTTGGTGTGCCTGTGTGTGTAACCCTTTGTGGTGTGAGGCTGTGTGTGTTGGGGTGAGGGGGGCTTGAGCTGTCTGAGGTGTGGAGTGTGATTTGTGAGTCTGCCCATGTGTGTGTGATAGTACGACCATTTGTGTACAGCTGTGGGGGTGGGGGGGTGATTGTCTGTGAGAAACAAGTCCGGGGGGGGGTGTCCGTGTATGCATGTGCACACCCGGCTTGTCCTCTGCCTGGGAGCAGCTGTTGTGTGGTGTGTGTCTGTGTCACTGCATTGTATAACTGAAGGTCTCTGCAGTTCTGGGGAATGAGGGATGTGGTAGTGTCTCTTGTCTTGCCTCCCTCCACTGTGCAGTTGTCTCTCTTAGTATGTGTGCAGTTGTGTATCTCTGTGCAGGAATTGTCTGTGTGTGTGGGTTGCTCTCTGTGTGTCTGGCTGGGTTCCATTGTATGTCTGCTGTAGCTGTGGAGTCTCTCTGGTGGTGTATGTGTGATTGTGTGTGTGTTTTTCTCCCAGGCCACGTGCTCTATGCATGTGTTGTTGAGTGCTTGGGCCCCAAACAAGGCGTTGTACCCAGTGGAGAGCAGGCCAGGGGTGGGGTGTGTGTGTGGGGGGGAAACAGGAGCCTGGGGACCAGGGTATGTGTGTGTGTGTGTGTGTGTGCGTGTGTGTGTGTGTGTGTGTGTGTGTGTGCAACCAGTCATAGAGGGGAGGGGAGACAATGGTTGTGTATCCATGTAGAGGGCACCATGTGTGTGTGTTTGAGTGTGTGAGAGAGAGGCGTGGGGGAGGAGGAGAGATAATGGCTGTTTGCATGTGTAGGGGGCACCAGGGGTGGGTGTGTGTAGGTGTGTGTGTCGAACTCCTGGGTTCTGTGTGTGTGTGTAGAAGAGAGACAGTCATGGGGGGGAAATAATGGTTTTGTGCCCATGTAGGGGGCATGGGGGGGCTCTGTGTACGTGTGTCTGTGTGTGTCTAGGGGCAGAGGTGGGCAAGCGTGTGTGAGGCAGTTGTGGGGAGGGAGCTGGAGAGCAATTCTCAGTGCCGGTGTGAGGCCCCGTGTGCAGCCCAGCCCCCACGTGACGTGTGCGTGTCCCCGTGTGACACCGTGTGTGTGCGAGACGCTGCCATCACTGGGTGAAGC